TGTTTTCTGATGGTCAAATTTGCCATTATGTTTACATAAAAGATTTTGAAAAATTAGTTGGAAATCAAATTAACCATCATGGACATCAAATAACAATGTTTAAGCGCTGTTTCGAACATTTTGACAACCGTTATGGGAAACGAGCAAGTGAAAAACTTGAAGATCATAAAATGTATTGCTCTGAAAATAAACCTATAAAAATAGAGCTACCGACGAAAAATCCTTTTATCATATTCGCAAATGTGGAGCGACAAAGTAAAGTACCATTTGTTACCTATGCTGACTTGGAATCCATATTAGTTCCTATAATAGTGAAGGAACTGGGAAATAATCCTGGAGAAGTTGAATTAATACCAAATAACGATGAAAAATATATATCATTCTCAATACATGTGGGTAAAATTAAATTGAGATTTATAGATTCTTATATATTCATGCCACGAAGCTTAGATTATCTTGTACAATCTCTATCTATGGATAAATTCAAAGAAACTTCAAAATATTACAGAGATGACGATTAGCATTGGTTACGAGGAAAGGCCTGTTCCCATACGATTATGTGGATGATGAAGAAAAGTTAAATTAAACAGAGTTTCTACCCATTGATGCTTTTTACAATACATTATCTAATATTAATATCAAACTCCATAAATTCCTAGATCCTGCATACTTTCTCATTATTGAATAATTTGTAAAATGGGGGTTGGTCCACCATCAGACAGATAGGGAGTACTCCCTAGTTATATTTGATAAAATCTCACTTAAAGCAAAACGTGATGCAAATCTTGAAATAGCTGCAATTTTATAATTTTTAATAGCTCTAATTTTATAATAGATGTTAAAATTTCGAAGTTGAACTTGTTTCTGTGGCATTTTGGATCGTTCTTATTATAATTATTAGATGATTATAAAAATTCTTTGACATAATAGTATTCCATATAAATCAATTAAGTATTTCGTGCTATCGATTAAGTTGGCATTGATTCCATAAAATTGCTAATGAGAAACCTTAAAACCTACATAAGTGGCAAAGTTTTGTACTTTTTCTAAATCAGACAAGTTTTTTGTTGAATAGAAAGTGATAACTAAAAAAATATTTAAAGTTAGTGATTAACAATTGTTTCAAAGTAAACTAGATTAAATTTACTTCTATGGGAAGTAGACATTGACTTTATTAATCTAGAAGAATTTTTTAACAAATAAAATTAAGGTAAATTCTGTTTTTTATACAACCATTACAGATCCTTACTGGATTACAGATCCTTCATCAGGGTAAGGAAAATATAAAAATTAACAACAATAATATAATAAAAGAAAAATTTACAAAACAATCTTTAAAATGAATGAAAATTTAACTATTAAATACATTAAATAAACACTATTTATTACGGTCCTCCTCTTCTATTTGTCGGATGAGAGATAAAAATAAATATAAAACTATTGTCCAGATGGGCTTTCCCCACCCCCTTAAAATTACGTCCTGTTTGTGTTAACCGCTACTAATTTAATGATCACAGAATCCTCAAAATTGAATATTATTGGCATTCGATCTTAACACAATTTTTTAAAGAAAATGCATTATATTCCCTTTAAATGCAGAGTGTATGAGTTTTACCATACTATATTTATATTGAAACGAAAAATTTCCAAAATGGTTCTTGAAATATAATGCATGGCCTGCCCCAAGGAAATATTCTTTAATACTTTTTGTTAGTTTCCTTTTGTTCTGCCCTATATAAACCGCAGACTGAGAGACTCAATCGAGTAAAACCATCTCTTACAAGAGTTGGGCATATTTGTGTCACATTCCCCCCTAATTATATCTAAATACGTGATACAGAATATTGTTATATTCACATAAAATTATGGATAGCTATTTTTCTTTATTTAAAAAATATTTATATATTTTTTCAAATTTACCAGTCTAAATACATATATTTGCTATCGTACTCACTCTTGTAAATAAGAATATAGCTGTATTTATGGAGGTAATTAAGAATATTGTCATATTCAGATAAAAATGTGTATAAATATTTTTAATTAAAAATTAAATATTAATATTACTGCAAATTTACTGGTCTAAATACAAATATTTGTATCAAAATACAAGCCTTTAAAAATACACTCACTTTTAATTACATGAGCTATAATGAACACAATAATATTGCCATAAAATTATGATGAGATATTCTTCTTTGTTTATCATATATTTATTTTTACCCAAATTTATAATAGATATATTAAATTTGTAAAAATTAATAATTTCGGCAATCCATGTCCTTCTCACCAGGCATCCTATACCTGCTTCCCAGAAATAGATACAATACAGGCCACCCATAGAGATAGATATAGTTTTTATCATGGAAAAACCAAATAACATCAACTACTTCAAAGGAAAAATGCCGCCTCAATGTGACTGTTCAAAGGCTATTGATTAATAAAAAATATGTATTCTTAAGATTATGTGAATACGACAATATTCTTTACTACGTATGAAAATACAAGCTCACTTATTTTGTCACAAGAGCTGCACAAAAAAAAAAAAATAAAAGGTTTCCTGTTTTTTTGAAAAATTCCATTTTCCATTTTAAAATCCATATCTCATGTAGTTTGTATTGTAAACATTGCATTGTTCAGATATTGCATAATTTTTTACCTATTTCATGACAACATTCTGTATATCTAGTTAGAATAGAATGTATCTAGTTTTTGGAGCGAATTCCGAAATGAACAGAAATTGCTTTCAGTTGTTTGAAATGTCTTAACAAATATGTTTATTTATAAAAACCGATGTTTCTGCTGTCTTAGGATTCACTAGAAGTACCTAATTCTGCCCAGCACATACTGTTAGGCTAGAACAAAAAATACCGGAAAACCAGCTCTATATTTAAAAGAGGTGGTTTTCATTCCTTCTCCCATTATTTCACATCAAGGCTTTTTTTAAACTATAATTAAGTTAAAATCGCTGGAAATGACGCAGAAACAATATTAGTTTGTCACTAATGCAGTCAAACTTCAAAATTTTGGCTTTTGTTTTTTCTACCAATGTCCCAAGAGTAGCTGATGAGCTAGTCCCAGTGTGCGCCGAGCCGAATCCCTATATTTCCATCAATCCTTATCCAACACCCCAAATTCCAAGGACAAGTGGGCAATCCTCAGAAAACTGGCCATTGGTACACATCTCAAACCCAGTCCATTTCCTTTTCTGCTGATTAACTTAACGCTCACTTTGTCTCCTGTCCCTTCTCATCCTCATCGTTTGCGTCCATTCCGTGTCCATTGTATTCCTCTTTTAAACCTGATCACTTCTTTTTTTCCCACATTACCTCTAATGGCTCCTTAACATCATTAAGAAATCCCATAGACATGATTATGGATCTGATAATATCCCAGTCAGACTGATTAAAGCCTCTACATCATCCATTCTTCCAATCTTCTACCATATTTCAAATTATTCACTGCGAAACGCTACCTTCCCTTTACCCTGGAAAACCGCTCAAGTTCGCCCTTTGAAGAAGACTTCCAACCTATCAACTCTTTATGACTTCCGTCCAACTTCTCTTCTCTCATACTTCTCCAAACATTCAAAGCGACTTGTTCAAACCCAGTTATCCCACTTTTTAGAATAACCTCCTAAATCCCAACCAGTCCGGTTTCCGGCCTGGATACTCCACTCAGTCTGCCCTCATTATAATTTCCCAAGACCTTTATATAACCATGGACCAGCAGGAGCTCACCATCCTTTTTTTCCTTGACTTCTCCAAAGCCTTTGAATCAGTAGACCACAAAATCCTCTTAACCAAGCTTAACTATATCTCCTTTTCTACTAGTGCCCTTAATTGGTTCTAATCCTTCATTACCAGTCGCTCTCAGTGTGTTGTAGTCCCCAATAACCTTCCAACAGAATCTTTACCCTTGTTTAGAGGCGTCCCACAACGCACCTTATCTTCCACCCTTTTTTCCATCTACATCAATGACCTCCCATCCTCTATCCTTCACTGTCAATTCCATCTGTATGCCGACGATGTCCAGATTTACCTCTCCTTCAATCCGACCGATTCCTCTGTTGCCATCCAAAAACTACAGGAAGATATAAACAGAATTTGGGCAAATCACAATAGGGTCATTATAAACGGACTCTTGGGAGATTCGAAGCCAATCATTGCTCAATACGATTTGTTTTCAGAACCTCAAGTGATATCCATCTAACCCCAGTTGATTGAGAGATCTATTACACCGAGTCTAAGTGGTTCTATTCATCCAACGGCCGTCTGTACTTTCTTGCTACCTTTCTATACCACTCCATCAGAACTCAGCGATTCTCCTATATTTTTTCAGCCTACAATTTAAATAATCCATTCAATCCGGTCTCACTAGATACCATATTTCCGACCTCTATCTTACTCCTCACTGAACTGCTGCGTTTGACAAATCCTTTTTAATCCAAGCCGTCTCTTTCTGGAGTTCTATCCCTCCTGATTTTTGACTCGTAGAATCTGTTTCCTCTTTCAAACCTCTCCTCTTTAAACACCTACTCCTTTCCCAATTAGACTGATCGTGCAATGTACCTAAGAAAACTCTTCAAGTACTTCTAGAGACTATTCCTGTTTACTTTTGTCATTCTAGTTTCTAACGTTTGTTTTATATATATGTATGTATTATTTTTTCTCTGTCACTATTTCTCTTCCTATCTGAAATTTTTATTGTTAATTAACTACTATTTTGTAAATAATTTATGAAACACTGTCATTTACCCTGTACTTACAATTTATTCAGACGGGACAACAGTCCCAGAATAATACAAAAAATATTTTCATTTTCATTTTATTTCATTATAATGTAAGCCATTAGAGAGAATTGTCGCCGCGTTGCCATGTAGATAGATTAGCGTTGTTATGTAAAGTAAATTTGTTCAGTATTATTCTAAAATGGATAATTAGAAGTTTATGAAACAATATAATTGAAAGTTCAATTTTCAACTTAGAAATATATCGTCTTACCTAAGTAGAACTGCGTAGAGGTTTTAGCAAAAGCATAAAAAATACTGGCAATAATCTTGCTTGAACAAGCTATAAGTCCAAGCATTGCATCATCCATTTTCATCAGGTGGCTGAAAACACCTATCCCTAAAGTTGTTCCTAAAAATATTAAGAAAAAAAAATCAAATTATTATTTTTTCACTTCATACTAGGCAGCTTCAATTTTTAAATAAATAAATGGTATAGCAACTAATAAGACTTCTTTATTTTATTTTTTATTTAAATATCTCTAAAAACTTTATTTTACTTATCAATTGAGGATTATAATTGAACAAGTTCTATAAGTTATGCTTTTGCAATAAATTTGTGTTCTATAAGTCCAGTTATTAATAGTAAACTACCACTAAATTGAGACATTAAAAATAGTTCTAATGAATCAAAACAATAATTTAACAATATTCCTTCGAAAATTAATGATAAAGGTGTCTCTCTATCTACTTACCAACAAGGTTTACAGCTATTCCATAAGTAGAGTAAATACTGAAATCCACTTCATCCCAATGAAATTGAAGCCTAGTAAAAAGATAACCAACAGCTAGTTCCCCTAAAATAATAAACAAATTCTTACATAAATTTAATGTGTGGGATAAAGTCGCTTGGAAAATTTATGAATTGTCATCCAATATGTATTAATTATAACACTAATTATAAAGATATTGAAGCCTTACATAAACAAAAACACTCAGCTTTAATAAATCCGAGTTAAAATTTGACATGCAATTATATCATACCATTCTCTTTAACAAATAAAAAGATAAAGAGCTTCAGAATAAAAAATTCATGTGAAATATTCTAATATACCAAGAGAACAGTACAACTACAAAGCACAGAACACTCGTGTTCATTATGGTCGTATCAAGTACCGACCTTAGTGCGGGGCAACCGGTGCAATTGCCCCGGGGACCAACCTGGATGGGGTGCCGGCAAATTGGCAAGCTTGCCAATTGTCATAAATAAATAAAAAATACAAAACATATTAAAATAATCAATTTTAGCCTATCAGTAAAGCAGCTATAGAAAAATATTGAATTAAATAAAATTCAATATTATGTAATTTAAAATCTCTAAAGAAATAAATTTACTTTTTTTAGGTGAAGGGAGATGATGTCATTAATAACAATATGTTGGCAAATGTACTGACAGGAAAAAAATTCCACCCATTTGATTTTTTCATGTTTTCATCTAAAAATATTTCTGCTTTGGATTGGTCTATTGTTTTTAATGAATAAATAGGTAATCTTTCTGTTTGTTTTCAATTAGGAATGTTAATATAGAGGAAAATAACCCTTAATCCTTAAATCAATGAAATAATTCTGGATTTCAATCTTTACTTTCTATGGAATCAAAATGTTTATTCAGTATCATTAGTTCAGTGCCGTTTCTTGCAGCACATTTATTAGTCTCCGGCTGTTAATTTTTAATTTTAATTTTTTAATTTTAATTTTTAATTTTTTTTTAATTTTTTCCAGAGTAAGTTTAAAAATGCCTCTTAGTGCTGAGAATGTTGCACGTGGTGTGGCACTTATTGATGATGGACGTTCCATTAGATATGCAGCTAATGTCATCAGAGTGCCATATGAAACTTTACGAGACGCCGTCAGGCGTTTTAGGGAAACTGGTTCTTACAATATAAGGCCCGGTTCTGGACGGCCCAAGGTAACAGAAAAATAGATGACCGGTTTTTGACTTTGAGAATTTTACGAAACCGGCACTTAACATTTGTTCAAGCGAACGATCGCCGATTTCGTTGAGGATAGGCAACACATGCGGTTAAAAAATCTCATCTACATAGCGAATGGCCGTCAAAGACCCTCCACAAACAACAACCAATTCTGTGCGGCGCTCCATTGAAATATGATTGGGTAAGAAAGATTATAGAAAAATAAATTGAAAAACGAACCATTATTATTCTAAAAGAAATTAATTACATCATCATTTAGTAGCGCGTGTCTCCTCCTCTTGCCTTCACTACTTCTTGAAGACGCCTCGGCATACTTTCCACCAGTCGAGAAATGTCACTTTGCTGGAGGATAGCCCATTCCTCCCGAAGAGCCTTTTCAAGGTCCTGTAGTGTATCAGGAAGTGTTGCACGCGCTATTATTCGTCTTCCGAGGTTATCCCATAAATGCTCAATGGGGTTCAAATCTGGAGAACGTGCTGGCCAGGCTAAAACCTCAATATTGTTCTGTTGAAGGAACGTCTGCACTATGCGGGCGACATGTGGGCGTGCATTATCGTGCATTAGAATAGAACGACCGCCGATTTCGTTGAGGATAGGCAACACACGAGGTTCCAAAATCTCATCTACATAGCGAATGGACGACAGAGACCCTCCACGAACAACAACCAATTCTGTGCGGCGCTCCATTGAAATCCCAGCCTACACCATTAAGGAACCACGTTGGAAAGGTTGGCTCTGGGAAAAATTACAGGCTGCATATCTTTCGTTTCTTCTTCTCCACACCCTTTCAAGCCCGTCTGGAGATCGAAGAGCGAATCTTGACTCATCTGTAAAAAGTAAAGCACTCCATTCGTCCATAGTCCAATGGCTGTGTTCTCGAGCAAAAGCCAGCCGTGTTACTCTGTGAGTTCTGGTCAACTCTGGTCCTCTTACTGGACGAAATGCCATTAATCCATATTCATTTAATCTTCTCCGAGCGGTACGTTCAGAAATTTGCACACCTCGAACTTCTTCGAGCTAATGAATCGCTTGAACAACGGTAAGGTGCCGGTTTCGTAAAATTCTCAAAGTCAAAAACCGGTCATCCCGTGGTTCTGTTACTCTGGGCCGTCCAGAATTGGGCCTTCTATTATAAGAACCAGTTTCCCGAAAACGCCTGACGGCGTCTCGTAAAGTTTCATATGGAACTCCGATGGCATTAGGTGCATATTTAATGGTACGTCCATCATCAATGCCACACCGCGCGCAACATCCTCATCACTAAGAGGCATTTTCAAACTTAGTATTGAAAAAATTAAAAGCCGGAGACTAAGAAATGTGCTGCAAGAAACGGCACTGAACTAATAATATTGAATAAACATTTTGATTCCATAGAAAGTAAACATTGGAATCTGGAATCATTTCATTGAATTAAGGATTGAGGGTTATTGTCCTCTATATTAACATTTCTAATTGAAAACAAACAAAAAGATTACCTATTTATTCATTAAAAACAATAGACCAATCCAAAGCAGAAATATTTTTAGATGAAAACATAAAAAAATCAAGTGGGCGGAATTTTTTGCCTGTCAGTGTATATAAGGAAAGTGGGTGAATGGTTGTCTTTGGTGAAACTAATGACAATCTCCATGATACAATTTTGCAATTTCAAACGGGATGATATATCAGAATATATACATGAACATATATATGTGGGAATGTAATAGGTGATCGAGCGTGCTAACGCCCGTAAAACACGCGTTGCCTTGGAACCGAAGATTACGAGTTCGAACCCCAGTGTCGAGAGGGGAATTTTTCAATCTGGCATTAATCCCCTGCCCTGTCTCCTGACTCGAGAAAAAAATCCCATATAACCGAAAAGTCTAGGAAAGAGAGAAAAAGTGGGAATACAAATATATTAAGTAAGTAAGTGGGAATATAAGAATAAATAAAATATTGTTTATAAATATTTCTAGGATTAGTTAGAACGTTGAATGTTGAATCGAGGATTGTCTGCTGCTAGAATGTTTTATAGATAATCTGAAATGTTCAAAAACCATCTTGTGGGTTGTGAGGATAGCTTCTGACATTATTAAGCAGACACACATCTTTGGGTGCCGATAGGATTAATCTATTAAAACTGTACCAGGTATTGATAAGATAAAAAAAGACTAAGGTTCCTTCGTCGATGGCTCGGCCCGCTCTGGCGTACTTGCCAAGATGGATAAAGAACATCACACAGGGATCTGAATTGCGACAGCAGCATTTCGAACAAGTTCCATACTTAGCCTGTGCTCGGAATCCGGTCTACACCCGCTTTTATTTAGAAGGCAAAAACTGGTTATATGTTACGCTGATAAATTATATACACAGACAGGACACCTAACTTACAAAAATATCATTGATTCCAAATTTTCCATTTCTTTTCAATAAAAAATCAATGCAACTCCTCCGCTATCAGAGAGAATCTCCATATGGACAACACGGGAACGTCTCGGGGTTGCATTGACACATTTTACGAAGCTATTCATAATTCTTTTTAGACTGTCTCCGTCTCAGTTTTTACCAATTTTATAGCGGAATCTCTCTGATTATTCACGTGATACAGTTAAAGTGTATATCAGAGCAGTTGATATTTACTGTTGGCATCTTTTTTTTTTGTTATTTTAAGGAAAAAAAAAAAAAAGGAAAAAAAAAAAAAAAATTTTTTTTTCTTTTTTTTTATTTATTTATTTATTTTTCTCTTATGATATGCGGTATGATCAGCAAGTGATGGCCAGTAAGGTGCCCAAGAGGTCTCGGTCAGACGGAGTTAGCTCACCAGCCAAACAAAGGACTCGTCGCTGCCTACGAGAAATACCTCCAGTGACCAAAATGAACACTTCAGAACCAGAACCTCAGCCCCAACCAGGTACGTCTGCACAAGAAACGATTGAAGAATCACCTTTCTTTACTCCAAACCCCTACCAAGTGCTTCAAAATGACAAAGAAGTAATGGAGTCTGCAGCAATACCCAGAGAACCAAAGCCTCCTCCGATATTTGTGAAAAATATAAAAAATTTCCAGATGTTCTGCACCCAACTAAATAAAATCTGCTCTGGCAGTTATTCATGCCTTAACAGGACCAATGACACCAAGATAACACCTGATTCTGCAGAAGCCTACCGAAAAATAGTGAAGTACTTATCAGAAACAAATGCGAATTTTCACACTTACCAGCTGAGGCAGGAAAGAGCTTTACGAGTGGTGATAAGAAATTTACATTCCTCAACCCCCACTGAAGTTATTAAAGAAGAACTAACGACGCTTGGTTTCAATGTACGCCAGGTAACAAACGTTTTGAAGGAGGACAGGGAGCAGCCAGGATTACGAAATAGGATCCCACTACCATTGTTTTTCGTGGACTTGGAGCCATCACCAGGTATCGAAAAAATATATGATATCACAAGAATATACTATACAATGGTGAAAGTTGAGAAGCCATATCCCAAGAGAGACATCGTGCAGTGCCATAATTGTCAGACCTATGGCCACACGAAGACATATTGCCACCATCTGCCGCGTTGCGTGAAGTGCGGTGAACAGCACAAATCTGTAGAGTGCACCAAACCTATACAAGATCCAGCAGTATGTGCCCTATGCTTGGAGGGACACCCGGCCAACTACAAAGGCTGCCAAATTTACAAGAATCTCAAAACCAGACACCAGAAAAACCGGATTCAAGATGAAGCACTAAGAACAAGAAGAGAGAGAGAGCCTTCCAGAATTGTAAACAATGATGTATCATTCTCCCAACTACTTAGAGGTAAGACTTTAACCGATAAATGTCAAGCCCTGCCACAACAACAACCTCAAACCCAACCTCAAAATCCTCTTCATCCTAA